CCCCAAAACCCCAAAACCCCAAAACCCCTTTGAATCCATAATAAATTGAATCATTTAAAAGTTAAGCTTCACTTACAACAAGACTTAATATAATAACCAAACTCTAAATTTAGCTATCCAAAGTGGGAAAGATGAAGAGACAACTGAAAAGTGAGAACAAAAGATTTGATTCTTCAGTGGATGAGGATGAGCCCACAGACGCTACGCTTGAGACTGTTATGCCAAATACCTCCAAACTTAAGCAGATTAAAGAATGGCATACAGAAATAGATGCGATAATGACTCTTTTCTGTGATAAGAGGACATTTAATACTGCTCAAAAACGCAGGATAAAGCAAAATTCTTTCATTTACAATCGTTGATATATTGACAAAGATGAAAACAAGGAGAAAGAAGAGAAGAGTGAGGAGCCTCCTAAGATAGGCCTTCCAAGTATTAAAAGATTGGAGAGGATATTTACCAACATTCGTAGAAAAGCAGCTAACGTTGAAATCACTGAAATCCATTTCCCATTAGGGCTCTTACTTGATCATTTTAAAAGAATCAACACAATAGAAATCTTCAAGATTAGTTGAAATCCCAAGTTCCTCTCCCATTGGGTTCCACTAAGACAATGGCAAAAATTCTGGGGTGATAATATTTTAAATAAAGGTAAAGATTCCTTACGAAAGCTCTGATTGTCAAATGTATCCATGACTAAGAGCCAAGCAGATATCATACTGAAAAATTTGGGTGACCTCAAATACATCCAGTTCTTTGATCTCAGCGGAAACCTTCTGGGACCGGAAATTTGCCCGAAACTATCTAAAGCCCTTAAAAATCTGAAAGCACTCATATCACTTGACCTCAGTGGAAATTGCTTTGGTAACAGAGGAGCGTCTAAAATTCTTGATAGCATCAAACGACATTCTGTGTTACAGGACATTAACCTAAGTCTAAACGAGATTACCAAAAATTGAAGAGAAGGTATTCACAGATTTCTCAAAGCCAAAAATGCCTGCAAGAGGATAAATCTATCCTTCAACTCAATGAAAGTTAAAGGACTCCAGAGAATCTTGGAGGCTTTGCCCAAGAACAAGTCTCTAGAGATCCTGAACATGGCTAGTAATGATATAAACAACCAAGATATTGAGGATATAGAGTACTTCACACATTTAGTAGCTTCTTGTGGCCTCAAGAAGATAAACATGACTCTGAACAGGATCAGAGGGGACAACAAGTATGCAATCATCAACACCTGAAATGCCAAGAAGATCAAAATAAAGCTTGATAATGTTTAATACCTCAATTATTTACTAAATAAGTGGGGTTTTGGGGTTTTGGGGTTTTGGGG